TGCTGCTTGCTTTCATCCACGGCTTTCAGTAGTACGGTGAAGGATGGTGGTCAAGCCCTAGTTCCCATCCATAGCTATATTTGTTCAGTGCACAAGTGTCCACGCGCACTTAATGCAACTATGATTCTGTATAGTTTATGTACACTGTGTGGATACATATCTCTTCTCATGCTGAAGGTTGAGCGTCTGCTGACCCTCCCATGTCTACTGGGACGTGTGACTACACTGTTAAAGCCCTGTCTTATTGGTCTTGCATTCGCCTAGATTGCATGTTTAAAGGCTGACGAGAATCTGTCTTTGCTTTTTTTTTTATGTTCAAGAATAAAGAAAAGATGCGTCTCGCGGTGCAGCGATGTGCTTGTCTCCTAGCCAGGCTGGCTCCTCAGCCGTGGGGGTCCCGGTCACGTTCCGGGATGCCCTGGCACGCCTCCCGAAAGGGCGTGGCCTTGAGGCCCCGCCCGCGCCCGGGGTGGGAGGACCTCCTTTTCAGCGCAGAAACAGTAAGAGCCTGGCGGGCGCCGCCAGCCGGACTCCGCCCATCCGAGGCTCCGGCCCGCTCATTGGCTGGATCCGTGGTGACGTCGTGAGGTTCACAGACAGTACTCCGAGCGCCAGGCGCGCGGGAGGTATTGTACTTCTCCCCGGCTTTGTTCCATCGTCTGCTCACCTGGCCCTAGGTGCGTCCTGGCCGTGCAACCCGGAGCGGGTGCCAGCAGCCGCCGCCGCCGCCATGGTGTCCCCGGTCACTGTGGTGAGTGCGCGAGCGCGCGAGCCGCGGCCGGAGCTCCCCCGGGCCTGGGACGAGGCAGCGGCAAGCCGGGCCGCCGTGGGAGCCGTGGAAGCTGGTACCCCTCCGGGGGTAGCGGCGGCTGTCACGGTTCCTTGCTCCTCACTCACGCAGCACCCCTCCTCCGCGCGCCCCCAGTCTGCCCGCAGGAGGGAGGAAAACATTGTGCACGTGACTCGGAAGCGTGACTTTGTTGATCCATGTGTGTCTGGAGCGGGTCTGCGGGTCTTGGCCTGGGAGTGGACGCAGCAGGCCTCAGGGTTCTGCGTGGTGGGACCTCAGAGAAGCGTTCGGGAGGGTGGGGGGTGGGTGGGTGGGGGCCAGACCTCTTGGGAATCCTGCCCCAAGTTGGTGTCCTCGTCATCTTGTCGGCGGCGCAGGAGGCGATGTCTCAGTCTAAGGAGCGCTGTTAAGGCGCTAGGTGACAGTGGACCGCTCTCTATTGGCTTGACCTCCTTTTCAGACTTTCAACTCTAACCTTTGGCTTGTCTCTCCACCCTTATCAGGCTGACTTCTCTGTCATGATTTCACCACCTACTGCCAGTTTCTTCTAGAAAATATGGGCCTGGGGGATGAGGGGAGAGCAAAGTTGATGTTTCAGAGGGCTGGCAGGAGGAGCTGGTCATCCCCTCGGATCTCCTCCCTTGACCATGCCCTCACCCTGATAAGGGAGTTTCCATGGGAAGGGAGTGTCAACTCTGCTCTCATCTCTCACCTCTGGCAGAGCAAGAGCAGGCTTATCTCTGGACCCACTATATGCCTCTTCTCTACCCTTCCCCAGTGGCATCAGGGACCTGGTAGCCTGGGGTTCTGAGTGTGTCCTCAGAGTCCTCTGTGGAACAGCTTGCTCACCCAGCCAGAGCACTTTAGGTGGGGTTTGGGGTCTATAGGGAACCCTGAGTGCTCCAGTTCACCCCCAGAAACTGTGAACTAGCAACCCAAGAGAAGGAGCTTCAGGAGACCGAAGAACATCTGCGGACTCTCCTCCCCCATCTCGGACTGTGCCTCCAGTGGCCTTGAGTAAAACCTTTCTTTAGCTGCCCTCCCCCTAATCCAGCTGAGACCCAGTCAGCTGCGCCAACTTCCCCCTCTCAGTTCCCCATCGCCTCCCAGCCTGTCTGCTGGCTCCAGATCAGAAGCTGGGACAAGAAGCCCTCCCCACCCCCCTTCCTGTCTCTGGTGCCTCAAGTTGCTCTTGTTCTCTGGGAAAAGAAATGGCCAACACCCCCTTTCCCCAGCCCTGGAAATCTTTGGTGTTTCAAGCACTGTTTATTGCTCCCAACACAAATCTGTTTCTCTTCCCAGCATCCCTAGCATCTCTCTTTGTCCTTGATGCTACCTTTAGTCTAACACAGGTAGAGTGGGAGCTGAGGGTCAGGCTGGGCAGAACCGAAAGCCTGTGGGGTGGAGGTACCACCACTTTCTACATTCCTGGCACTCACCTGGTATTGCTGGGGCTCTAAGCCCGAGTCCTGGCTCTCAAGCTGGGATCATGAGTTGGTCAGTCAGTGTGTTTCTGTGGTTTTCCTCTGACATTACTCCAGTTCCAGACAGCTGGGAGCTGACACTGACAGGGAGAGGTGCTACGGGATCCCTCGAGGAGGGGGAAGGGAGGAAGCCAGAGGGACCAGCACTAGGTTGCAGAAGGGAATATCCTAATATTTACTGTTGGTCCAGTGATTGACTGTTCTGGCCTAGTCCCAGGGCCAAGAGTGGACGAGAGTGACAGGACAGTGGGACCCTTGCCTGTCCTGGTAAATTGAGCCTCAGGGTGATAATGGCTTTGTTCACATCATGCTGGCTGGTTGGAGCCGGACAGGCTAGGTTTCTCTGTCAGTCCTCCTTGTACTGAGTGGTAGAGGGCTAGTGTATGCACTGTAGCCTTGGGGAAAGGTACTGGGTTTTCCATACCACCATGGGCTTCTGTGCCCCCCAACCTCTGAGTGCTGCCCTTATTCTCTCTCTTCCAGGTGAAGAGTGAGGGACCCAAACTGGTGCCCTTCTTTAAGGCCACCTGCGTGTATTTTGTGCTCTGGCTGCCCTCGTCCAGCCCATCGTGGGTCAGTGCTCTTATCAAGTGCCTGCCCATCTTCTGCCTCTGGCTTTTCCTTCTGGCCCATGGCTTCAGGTTCCTGCTGGCCCACCCCAGTGCCTCCCTCATCTTTGTGGGACTCGTCTTCTCTGCTGTGGGTGATGCCTTCCTCATCTGGCAGGACCACGGCTACTTTGAGCATGGTCAGTAGTTATAGGAGATGCCTGGGAGGGTGCCTGGGGCTGGAGGAAAGAGGGCCCTGGGGTTGGGATAGGGGAAGGCTTTGGAAGAAGGGACAGGGAGTTGGAGGGTTTCTGAGGCTGGGGACTTTGGTCTTCTGTTGGAGGAGGACCAGTTCTCTAAGGGAGAGTGTGAGAGGATGAGTTTAAAACTGTAGATCTTCCCACCCCTCCTAGTCCCAGAGCAAAAGCTGCTGGGTTATCCCCAGTCCCGTTCTCTTGCACACAAGTACTCATTAGTCACCAAGCCCGCCTTTAGCATTCTTTGTCCCCTCTCACTTCCAGGTCTCCTGATGTTTGCTGTGACACACATACTGTATGCCTCGGCCTTTGGCATGCGGCCACTGGCTCTCCGGACAGGTCTGGTGATTGGAGTGCTGTCAGGCCTGTGCTATGCTCTTCTCTACCCAGGGCTGTCAGGTGCCTTCACCTACTTGGTCGGGGTCTATGTGGCCCTTATAAGCTTCATGGGCTGGCGAGCTATGGCAGGGTTGCGGCTGGTTGGGGCAGCCTGGCGATGGACGGAGCTGGCGGCCGGCAGTGGTGCACTGCTTTTCATCATCTCAGACCTGACCATCGCTGTCAACAAGTTCTGCTTTCCTGTGCCCTACTCTCGGGCGCTCATCATGTCCACGTACTATGCTGCTCAGATGCTCATTGCCCTGTCGGCTGTTGAGAGCCGAGAGCCGGTGGAAGACTATAGACTGAGCAAGGCCAACTGAAGGGACTGGGGTCTGCTCACCTTTCTCCTGGGGCTGGGGCCCAGACTTTGGGAGTGTGCAGGAGCTGGATCACCAGGCACCTCCTGGGAAAGTGGCAGGCTTGAAGGGGTCAGCGGGAGGAGCTCCCAGGAAAGCTGAGAGCTCAAAGAGGCAGCCTCACATCCCTCGCCTAAGTCAGAGTAGACCTGTCCGCGTCCCAGCAGGACTGTCAAAACCCTCCTGGAAGACGATGGTGCTTTTTGACGCCTCTTTTTTTTTTTTTTTTTTTTTTTGGCTAGATGGAAGAGTGTGACTATCTCTTATGCCCAGGACCAATGGCAATGCCAGGCTCATCTTTTCCCACCTTTTCTCTCCCAAGATGACCCAGGACCAGGGCTTGAAGCTCCTTCCCCAGGCTCCCCATTGGGAAGATTGGTTGAAGGTAGTCTTGTTTTCCTTTGTCTAGCCTTGTTACTTCCACAATCTCAGTCTTCAAGTGGTGAATGTCCGTCTGTCTATGAGAAGTAATAGAGGGAACTTCCTTGGTTTGGAAGCTTCAGGGGGCCAAGGTTTCAGGTTGGTCCTGTTTCACAGGCCAGCCCAGAGCTCAGGCCTCATACTGTCACCTTCAGACTATCCCCAGGGCTAGGGTGAACCATGCCAAAGGAAGAGGCTGGTCTCCAGCTATATGTCTTTGTCTTGCTGTCTGTAAAGGACTTAAAGGGGTGGGCCTCAGAGAGCTCTTGAGGGGTGCTTAACCTGGCTCAGAGCTGGGGGCCCTCCCCTGGCACACCAACAACAGTACTTTCTTCCTGCCCTGGGAGTGGGTTCTGAACGACACTTTGGGGTCTTAAGACCTGAGGCACAGTCAATGCAAGGGGAGTAAGGATGGGGTAACTCCACCCTCTACTACCCATGTGAAAAAATAAAATAGAATAAAAACCCAAGGGTCATTGGCTTCCTAACTTGTCTGCCTGTGTGGCACGTGCCTGTCCTGGACCCGGAGTGGAGGCATGGTGCCAGGAGCCCTGGTTGTCCTCACAGCCTGGGTCACAGTTGTCTTGGCTCAGGCCTCTTGGCACCTAGCTGGCTCCCTGGCTGTGCTGACACTTCAGTGGGTCTCACTTCCCTGGTCACTCGGGGTGTGTGTGTGTGTGTGTGTGTGTGTGTGTGTGTGTTTATAATTCAGGAGGGTGGGCGTGGGTGGGTAGTGACTTGCCATTGTCTGCATTTGTCCTGGGCATAGTCCCCTGTGTATAGGTGCTTAGCAGTCTTGGTAACCCTTTATGCAGTTGCTGCATTACCCTCCCCTGTCCCCAGCCCAGACCTGCTGCTTCTCTAAATGATGCAGACTTCTATGCCAGCCTTTCCTCCTTGGACTCTGGGTTTAGTTGAGCAGCCTGGAGGAATGGAATTAGATTAGCTGATTCTTACTTTAGACCTGAAGCCTCAGCAGACTATTGTCTGCCTTACCCCAGAGGCATTTGGATTTCAACAGGCAGTGCCTAGTCCTGGAGTAGAAAGGGTCAGTGGTGAATATGCCATTGATATTTCTGCTGTACCTTTTTGGGGAATGTAATATAGGAGATTCAAGCCTCATGGGTGTTGAATGAATCGATGACTTTCCAAACTTTCTTTTTGGTGCTGGGGATCAAACCCAAGGCATTGCACATGCTAAAATCATGTTCTACCGTTGAGTTGTGTAATACTATGAGCTGTTAAGCTAGACCCAAACTAAAGTTTTTACAGACACCTCTCATGGGGATAGAGAGCAAAGAAATATGGGGGTGGGGGGACACGGAGAGCAGGACGCAGGGCTCCATCATTTCAAGCCTCTAGTTTAAAATCCTTCAAGGAAGTATTCTACTGTAAAACATGTTTAAAACTAGTAAACTACATGAGCAGTTCTGTCCTGCTTTGGCTGGATACTAAGGGAGTAGGGTCCTGACCCATTTAAACTCTAGAATGTTGAACACAGACCTCTATGATGTGAAGAAATGGAAGGGAGCAGGATGGGAAGGAGAAAGTTAGCAGAATTTGTCTTTCTTGCTGAGGGGAGGGTGAGAGTGAGTGTGGGGATGAAGAAGGAAGGGAAGCCCCAAGGTGACTTCATGTGCTTGGGTCGGCTGTGTCCATCCCCAGAGTTCCTATTGCACTCCACTCTCAGGAGCAGGGAGGGTGAGCTCCGTGAGTTTCTTGTTCCACACCTTCACCACACACTTACAGTGACGCACATCCTGGAAGGCAGACTGGCCAAAAAGCCCCACATCACCGCAGCTGATGCTGATGCCTCCAGCTTGCATGAGGCCCTCCACCTTCCGAAGATTCTCAGTGATAGATGCTAGGCTTGACCTGCCATCTTTGAAAGGTCAAAGCAAATATTTATTAGTGCTCAAGAAAGATCAGAAATTGCTGGATTTAGAGTCACTACATAGGAACTGAGAACTGGTCCTTGTGTCTCCCAAGCTGGATTAGCCATGTGTGGGATCAAAAGCTGCCATCTAGTGATACTTGCTATTTCCCAGGAATTGTGTTAGGTGCTTCCTCATCACCTGGTAGGTGAGCAAACAAGAGAGGTGGCTAGACAGTGGTGGCACCAGGGCTCCAATCCATGTTCCTAAAACCAATGAGAGTGACTGTGGATCTCTGGCTGTGGAGTGGAAGCTGGATCCCCCACCTCCATCACCGTGCCCTCCTGGCTTAGTCCTGACACAGTTCAACAGCTGTTCTGGAAGCATTATCTTCTTAGGGCCAGACACTTAGTTGAGCACTTGGGAGATAGAGCAACGGGACACCTTCTTTTCCCCTAAGGAAAGACATCTCTAACTGGCCGAATAAAGATCTGTAGCTATTGGAGACCACAACCATGGAGGGGCCTCACCCCAGAGAATTTGAGGGAGTGATAGAGCGTGAAGCTGGGGAGATAGGAAATGGGGTGCCTGGCCTGCTAGGATATTAACACGAGGATTGGGAGAAGCTGAGAAGAACTTGAACAACAAAGCATGGCAGGTTGGCTTCTCACTGGAGGGGCCACACTGCTAGCCCTGTAGCCATGAAGACAGTAGATTGGGTGACAAGGAGTAAAGTATTGCCTCAGACATGTTCATCACAAGCAAAAGCAAGCAGGCATATGTGAGAGGAGCGGTCTGCTTCACAGTTCCCAGTCTTTGGGCCTCTCTTCTGCCCTTACCCTAGACCAGTGATTTTCAACATCAGTGCATATCAAAGCCACTCGAGAAAATTTGCAAACATATAGATTTCTTCCAGAACCCTGCTGGATAAATTGTGGTGGGCCAGTCTGGTTTAAACCTGATGACCAGTATCTTTTTAAAAGGTGGGTCTCAGTCCAGCAGTATATGCTGTCACAGTTTAGCAAGGGATTATGAACTCTCCATATCTGTAGAGGCCAGGAACATTATATAAGACATTGATAAGATGGGAGAATATTTGTACCACTTGAAAGCAGATCAAATGAAAAACAGCCCTAGCCAATTGAAGAGAGTGATGAATGGATTGAGCCCCTGCCCTTCGACAAGATGCATGTGTCCTCCCTGCAGGCCATGCCTGGTGGTGTTCTCACCATAGACAGTGACCACGCAGCTGCTATGGTCCTTGCCTAGCTCATTCTTCAGTGCAGTATTCACGACTGTCCTTCAGTGTGCAGGTGGGGATGACCAGGGTACACACAGTGCTGCTGGAGTTGTGCCAGGACTTGGAATTGACAATGATGTTGACATCACCCTTGTAGATAGTCACCATGAGCCATGGGTTCCCAAGGAGGTGCCAGTGATGGTGTAATCCTGGCCACAGATCACAGTGGATCAGAAAGTGGGGTACATAGTGTCAGTCCTGCTGATACAATTTCAGCATGGTGCTCAGGTCCTCCCTCCTCCCTCCCTCCCTTCCTTCCTTCCTTGAGAGAGTCTCACTATTACAGCCTGACCTGGAGCTTTTGTAGACCAGGCTCTTCCTCAAACTCACAGAAATCCACCTGCCTCTGCCTCCCAAGTGCTGGGACTAAAGGTGTGTGCTATCGCATATACACAGTTCTTAAGGACTTTTGTACGCTCTCAGTGCCCCTCCCCACTCCAGGGTTTGACTAGCTGAAGCAGTCTCACAGGTTTTTATGCTTTCCTAGACTGGGGGAATCTAGATGCCTTCTCCATACCTACTTCTTGGATCCTGGTATTCTCAGCTCTTTCCCTGGCATGGAAATCTTCCTCCAGATTTCCCCTATGTCCAGTCAGCGTTTAGGTTGTCCTCTTTGCCCCATTGAACCCTCATTTCCAGCTTCCTGATGTTATCTCTATCTCTTCAGACTTAGCCACTGTTTTCCAGAGTCCCAGCCCTTGCCCTTAACCGTCCCTCTCTCTATAGCAGGCTTCAAATTGGCTCTGTAATCTTCCTCTCCCTCACTATTATCTGGGCCCCTAAGGGCACCTTCCCATCTCCGTATCAGTCGCATCACTGAAAGCACCCACCAGATAACATCTCTGCTGAGTTTCTCAAAGGCCTCTAAGTGATAACCGATCTCGTGTCTCTCTGACCTTAACACTACCCTTTAGTGACCCTATGCTCTCTTCACATCAGGGCTTCCTGAGCAGGCCTCCAGTCCTGTGTTCACTCTGGTCCTTATTGACAAGCCATGTATCCTTGGAGTGCAGTGGGTCGCTGTCACCCATTTCATTTTGAACCACCAGTCTGAAGTAGCATTTCCTGCCTGGTCACCATGCACTTGTTGCTGAAGACACGCTTGGCTAAAGTGAACCAGCAGGTGACATAGTGGTCATCACCGCCTTCCTGGACATCAGGATTGTGGTTCCAGGTCAGAGTCACTCATGTGTGGGCAAACGGCCACAGGTTTGCAGGAGGTCTGGAGAAATCCGAAAGAATTGGAAGTTTGTTAGCTACCCTGGGGATAGAAGTTGTGCCTTCACCCTAGCCTCCCCACCCACCTGCCCAGCCTGTTGGAAGATGGAACCACACACTTTCCTTCTGTGAGTGGTAGGCAGCAGATGTCCTGGAGTCAGAAAAACCTGTTTGTGAAGTATCATCTTGCCATTTAATAGCTTGTGACCTTTGGCAAGTTACATGTCTTTTATGATACCCATTGCCTCATTGTTAGAGACTAACAATGGCTGCTTATTTTACAGGATTAAGGGGTAAGGTGGCCACCATGTAGTTAGTTAATAGTCAATAAAGGTTCATCTTTTTCTGTTTCTGGGCTGTTCAGACCTCAGAGGTCACTCCCAGTATTTAGTAGATTCGTCTTCGTTGGTAGCTCCTGCCCTTCACCCCTTCTCCACTTCTTTCCTTGCAGATTGTACTCTGTTTATGCTTCATATCTCATCAGATATGACCAGCCACAGAATCTGAAATAAGGGCTGTACCCTAGGTCAATGTCTCCTGGGCTCCAGGACGCTGAGATAAAAGGGTAAAACCAAACCAAACCAAAACCAAAAAACCTCTCTACCAGTCAAAGGCTGATAAAGTCTTGGTTTGTGGTGTCAAAGTAGGCCTCCCTGCCCACTCGCCGGCAAAGGTTGTGTCTTAGGTTGGTAAGTAGCAGTGGGGAGTTACATTTGGTGGAGTGTGCAAGGATAGCTGCAGAAGGCCTCTGCCACCGCCTGTACCTGCCCCAAGCACACGGGAAGTATGCGATGATACCTCCCAGAGGCCGCTGCCCACTGCCTGCACGTACCACATGCATGTGATGATATGTAAGGACGGCAGCCCCCCAGGCCTCTTACTGTACCTACCACTAGCATGTAGACACCATAGTGTGCGCCTCCAAACTCATTCTGGAGCAAGGTCCGACACACTCCTTAGTCGGAACACTTGGTGCTGCTAACGAGGAACTGGGGACAGTTTTTGACCTTGGTGGTGGTTTTCCAGCCCTTGATAGTAATGCTGTCTTTCTGCCAGGTCACAGCAGGTAGTGGTGAGCCCTGGGTGGTAACAGGAGACAGCATAGTCAGTCACCGGGAGAGTATTCGGAAGAAGGCTCTTCTTGTTATCAAATAGTCTCCTAGGCTCCAGGGACCTGGTGAGTGGCAGAACTAGTCACAGACAATAGTGCCTACAACATCTAGCTTGTTGCAGGGGGCAGTATGGGGAGCAGAATCAGGGATAACCCAGAGAAGGCTGCATAGATGCAGAGGGCCGTGCCAGCACCCACCACTGTCTGGCTCTAGCTAGGTGCTGAGGTCTGAGCTTGGGGACAGCTGGGGTGGAAGGGCATGGATTGCTCTTCAGCTTTAAGCCTCCCCTCCAGAGCCTTTCCCAACCCCTTTAGTGGCTGTGGTACAGGCCATGCAAAGACGTCTGACTGTCCTGGAATACTGGGAAACATTTACATTTTCATCTGTGTCTCCCAACATGTAAGATCATGGAAGTCAGGTCCTGCATCTTAATTTGTTTCTATATTCCTTACACCTCCAATGACACACAGAGATACTAATTCGGCACAGTGTTTGTTTCATATTTTTTCAAGGAGGGGGATCCCAGAGATTACCTTTGGCTTTGTCCAAGGCATAAGAAGTATGGATGAGTTTTTCTTGATCAGAACATCGCCACATCTTTCTCTGTGGAATGAAGCCTTGGGGGAAAGGTTTGGAACTGGGATGTTGGTCTACTGTTTGCTGCCTTCAGTTCTCATCGTAAGGATGTAGCTGGATGGTGGGTCCCTTCTACAGGCTCACACCAGCCAAGGGAGATGCTTGAGTTACAGGAATCAGACATACTTGGGCCCTGTACCAGGCTTGTAGTTTCTAAGGTAGCACAGATATTCAGTTGTTCTCCAAACTCATCCATACCAACCCCATGGGGGTTCCCACATCCAGTATGCCTGAATCCTAGTGTTCACCACTTCTACAGTGGCTCCCACAGTGAACACTCTTAATATATAACTTGATTACTCAACAATGTGCCAGTTTACTTTAAAAAAATTTTTTTTTCAAGACAGGGTTTCTCTGTGTAGTTTTGGTGCCCATCCTGGATCTTGCTCTATAGCCCAGGCTGGCCTCGAACTCACAGAGATCCACCTGCCTCTGCCTCCTGAGTGCTGGGATTAAAGGCGTACACTACCACTGCCTGGCATGCCAATTTATTTTACCAACTCAGTTTCAGTATTCTCAAAATTCAATACACCCCATACATTCAACTCTCCTACATTCAAAATCCATCTTTAATTTAGCCATTTCCACCACATCCACTTACAAGCAGCATTCCCACCTCACATCCTCAACTCAAGGCCTCCTAAGCATCCATCCAGTATCCTCACTCAATCCCAACACACTTACTCCCCCAACAAGAGACAGCAAAGCTTGATAAAAACTGTGCCCACCCCGCCTTCTCACTGTCCCAGATGCTCAGTTTATATTTGCTGGCTTTCTCTTGAGTGTGAATCCTGCTCCTCTATGAGGCTGGCAATTGCCAGAGAGTGAGACTGTAGCCCTTCCTGTTAGACTTTTCCCAGTGAGGACATCCTCTCTTAAAGGGGCTTGTTCCACTAATGTGTTGGACTTGGCCTCATACCAACAGGATCCTTGGCTACCACTGAACTGATTGGCATGCTGAGATGTCCTAGGGTGGCCTTATACACAGCTATAACTGGGAATTTACATTCTGTGTCCTCCATCCAGAATATACTCTGTACCTGAGGTGGGAAGATGAGGGGTCATGAGGCTAGGGGCATCTATGAGGTAAGAGACCACAGAGTGGGACGCTACAGAAGAGGAGATAATGGGATGTTGAAACTCCTCAAGGAGCTTGAGGAGGAAGTATACTTACTCGTGAGACTTTCTTTGTCCCACCCCCTCCTGTCTTAGAACCTCTGTTCCAAGCACCTCACCCTGGATGGGGTTCTTGTTGACTTTCTCAGTCTCAGTTGGGTTATTGACACCCTCTGAACAGAATACAGAGTGTGTAAGTTTTCTCCTCTTTTGCTTGGGTGGTGAAGTTGGCCACTTGGTCATCCATCTCTCTTGTCTTAATCCAGTACTTCTACTATGAACTGTTTTACAGGTGGGCCTTCCATTTCCTGTGCACAGTTAACCAAGAGCTCCAGGAACTGCACTTGTCCTTGGCGAGGCTTCGGACAGTCTAGAGACAGACAACAGCTTCACAAATGGGGTTTTGGAACAAAGGGACAGAAGGGCATCTCACTGACCAGAGGTCTGGCTAGCCTGGGGCATAATTCAACTCTGAATTTTCTGGATTCTCCCTTATCCTGTGTCCAGCACTCCTAAGATATGCCTAGGGAGTTTGATCCTTGTCTCTCTGAACCTCCTGCCTACCTAGAAATCAGTGCTCTGCAGCCCCTGGCAACCCCTGTTTAGCTGCCATTCACACCACAACCCTCTCCCAGACAAGTTCTCTCCCTTTCCTGAGGCTCCAGAATACCCCCGCTTTCTAGTGTTACTGTTGTCTTGGGTTACAGTTACTTATCTGTCTACTAGTTTTACTTGTTTGGGTATACTGCATCCATGTGTCCCCAACACCAAGAACACAGGGGTGGTAAACTGAATGAAAATGCAAACCTTCCCATGCCCCAGTTTTGTGGCATGATGGTGTGTGTGTGATGGATATTGAAGGTCACAAGGCCAGCTCCTCATCATGTTCAGACCAATCTAAAATCCCCTTCCTACCCCAACTCCAGCTTTCTATTCTCATTTTATCCCAACCCTCTGCCCTCCCATCTCATTGTTTTACTTCCCACCCCAGTGCTCTTTGCAACCAGCCTAACCTCTGCTCCTCAGTCCCATCTCCCTTTCACCTCATCTCCTTACCTCCAACCGCATCATTGTTTAGTCCACAGCAACACTCAAGTGACCACTGGAAGATGTGTTATGTGCTGTGCACTTGGCTGTGCATTTGAGAAGCATTAGAAATAGATGCCTGGGTAAAGCTCTGCCCTGCTCCTGGTGGGAAACTGGGCTTAGAGAGGTCTACTTGACCAAGGCCGCTTAAGAAATTAGGCAGGCCGGGTAGTGTTGGCACACACCTTTAACCCCAGCACTTGGGAGGCAAAGGCAGGCAGATCTCTGTGAGTTCGAGGCCAGCCTGGTCTACAGAGCGAGATCCAGGACGGGCACCAAAACTACACAGAGAAACCCTGTCTCAAAAAAACAAACAAACAAACAACAACCAAACAAACAGCAACAACAAAAAAAGAAATTAGGCAGTCAGCTTCTGGTCACAAAGCCAATATTCCAATCCCATTCCTAGTCAAAACTCAAACAATGTCTAGGGCCTCCTTCCTAGTCACCCACTCTGATTACTGGCCAGCTGGTGCTCTCAGACAACCTGGTGACTGTGCCCTCCCCTAGCACATTGAGGTGCACACCAGTAGCAGTTGCTGTGTGACTGTCATTCTTGAGCTTGAGCAGGACCAAGTTGATGTCTTTATGTACACAATTGGAGAAGGTGATCCTGGTCTTCTCTGTGCTCCATGGACACATGCTCCTTCTTGGTCACCTACATAACATCTTGTATCAGGTCACTTTGGGCAATAGCCTTGCTTGTAAGCCATATAGCCCACTTTCATGGTCACAGGGCAGCTAGTGTTTCCAGATGGATGAGTCAATAGAAGGAGATCTACAGGGCAAGGCATCAGGGGATGGGGAGGAACTGGTGGCAATGGGGTGGGGGCTATGAGCATATGGGCTGGCCCAGCATCTTTGAACCTTTCTATTTTCAGAGGGCCTTTTTGCATTGGATTCTTGAGCTTATCTGGGAGTGAACAGATGTGGATTCATATTTCCACAGAGAATGTCACACAGCTAAAAGCTAGCAATTTTTTGGACCATGATTACCCAGCTGATAATATGACCCCAGTGTGTGTTGACTTCAGGTTAGTAACTATTATAATTTCATTTTCACACTTGCCTCCCCTACTAGAAGATCCTTCTCTTTTCAGTACCCATCACAGAGCCTTGCCAAGAGCAGATGGATGGATGGATGGATGAACACATGGGGGCTGCCGTGACATGAATCCCACCCCTCCAGCTCTCACTGAACCACTCATAGTGATGTGAGTGATATGACATGTGATATGAGCCTCTGTATGAAGCTCCTGCTCGGGCAGAGAACTTGGCACTGTTGCCGAGTCTGGCATCTTTGATCTTTTTTTTTTTTTTAAATTTATTTTAATTTATTTTGCAATACAATTCAGTTCTACATATCAGCCACGGATTCCCTTGTTCTCCCCCCCCCCCGTCCCCCTCACCTTCCCCCCAACCCCCCCGGCATCTTTGATCTTAAGTGTCTAGGTCAGACCACCCTCATGGCCTGAGATCTCCTACTTGTCACCCCTCTTCAGCTCATTCCTGTTGAACTTCTGCACAAAATCAAGTGTCTTTCTGGGCGTGGCGGGTCTCCAACACCGCTGCCTGTCATTGTCACCATCTCTAGTTTCACTTCTTCCGTGAACTTGAGTGGCTCATCTGCAGCAGAGAGCAGGGAGGTGGACCGAGGAGGAGAATGCAGACACAGGGGTCACTGACCTCCTGTGGCCCACAGCTGGGGAAGCACCCTTCCTTGCATTCCGCTCGCCAACCTCCATCTGCTCCGGAGTCTCATCTTGTGATATTCACATGGTCTCTCCTCCAGGAATGTTAACAGCATTAAAAAACTTAGGTAGTATTAGAGGTCTGGTGGGCACTATTGTAGCTAATTTTCACATATTGATTAACTTAATTCTCATCTAGGTAGGTTCTATTATGATTCTTCCATTTCACACAGAGAGAAACTAGGGCAAAGAAATAAGACAACTTGCTGTAAATCACACATCCATTAAGTAGCAGAAGCTGGGACATGGACCCCAGTTGTCTAACTCCAGAGTCTGTCCTCTTAACCACTATGCCACACTGTCCCATGACACTATTTCATAATCTTTAAGGAATATCTATACCTTATAGTTCATGTTTCCTTTTTATACTAACACCCATCCCCATGTAGTCCTTTCATGCATAGACCACAGTCCTCTCTCCAATATGGCCATAGACCCTTCAAGGCCATTCCTCACCCTGACAGGTCTTTTGGGCCTAGATGCTTACTTTCATATGCCTACTTTCCAGCATGGTGAACTGTGCACTTAACTTAGTCACTTTTCTATGGCTTATGAAAGAAAGTACTTATTTGGGACTTACAGTTTCAGAGGGTTAGCTACCATAAGTATCATGGCAGGAAGCATGGCACTGGAGCAGTAGCTGAAACCTCACATCTTGAGACATAACTACAAGGCAGAGAGAGCTTACTGGAGATGACATGGGCTTCTGAAACTCCAGTCTGTCACCAGTGACACACCTCCTCCAATAAGACCACACCTCCTAAACCTTCCCAAACAGTTCTGCTAACTCGGGACCAAGTATTCAAATATATGGGCCTATGAGGGGCAGCATTCTCATTCTCAAGCTAGCACAGCACTCATCCAGTTGTCTCCCACAGTCAGGCTGTAGACACTGTCGTTGCTCATGTTTATGTTGGTAATAACCAGCATGTACTTGGTGCCCACCTTCCTCACATGCTCCTTTCCCAGGGAATACTGGATCCTGAAAAGCTCAGTGTCCTGCTTCATAGAACAGGTGGAGAAGGCAATGAAGGGGTTTAGGAAGAGACCTCTGAGCTCCTCATTCCCTGGAGTCAGCATGACTGACTCTGGAGAGCGCATGCTCATCTCTCTAAACATACCCAGACCCCATAAATCTCTCTGGCTTAATCATCCAGCTTGGTGAGACCCAAAGTCTTCCCATAAGGCCCACATTCTTTTTTAGAATTAATTTATTTATTTTACATCCGACCGCAGTTTCCCCTCCCTCCTCTCCTATTCCCTCCCCTCTGCCCTCCTCCCCCTCAATCTACTCCTCGTCTGTTTCTGTTCAGAAAGGGGCATGCCTCCCATGGGGTATCAGCAAACCAAGTTGCCATAAGTCTAAGCACTTTCCCTTGTATTTAGGCTGGGCAAGGCAATCCAATATGAGGAATAGGTTCCCAAGAGCCAACCAAAGTATTAGGGACAGCCCCTGCTCCCATTGTTAGGAGTCCCACAAATAGACCAAGCTACACAACTGTCACATATATGTAGAGGAAGGCCCACATTCTTAATTCTTAGATACTTTTTCCTAGGAGCAGGATTTTAGTGACCTTCAGGGTTATTTACTTCAGGCTAGATTCTGTTTGAAGGTGTGTAGACTAACATGGAAAGAGGAAAGTGACCATTTCACATCAAAATGGAAATGGTAGAATAACTAGAAACAAAGTCTAGGAACCAGCCTCTTTCAATGTTCTCAGAAGGTGTCTTCTTCATTGGCTAGAAGAGAGGACCTGGCTTATAGCTAATGAGAGGGTCTGAGAAGGCAGAAGGTGCAGCAGCCATGGTGGAGCCAGGGTGGTACCTGGCTAGGTGCTCCACACCTTGACCCATATCATTTCAGTGTTGGGGTCCTTCAGCTCCACAATGCAGTCAAAGACCGCGGTGGTGTCAACTTTGGTCTCTATGTCTTCTGATGCCTTTAGAATCCTAATGACCTGAGAGATTGTTTCAACAAAGTGCAAGGATCAGAGGCATTTGTCTAGGCTGTGCCCACTATCCTGGAGGCAACCCCTTAAGGTCCACGCTCATTCAGTAACACCCCATGCCTCACCAAGTTCACTGATCAACTGGAAGATAGAAGAGTAGGATTGTAGGAGATGAGGAAGGAACTGCCAATCACAGAATAGTCATTATGTGCCTGGACCAAGGACAGACTCTATAATTATATGGTCAGTGCTTAGCAAGAGTTTGCCAAATGAGCAAATAAATGACAACCGAAAAACAAATACAAGAGAAAAATATATTTTTTGCTGATGTAGAAACTGAAACTTGGAGAGATACCTAAGACAGTAGAAGTGAGATTCGAACCTAGGTCTGTCTGAATCCACATGCATGCAACTGGGGAGGTGAAGTGAGTAAAGGTAGGAGGGTGACAGGTTCTCTCTCTGCATTTGTGGTAGACAGCCTACCTTTGAGTGTGTGTGTGTGTGTGTGTGTGTGTGTGTGTGTGTGTGTGTGTGTGTGTGTATGTACACACACACACACACACACACACACATATTTGTGTGCAGGGTAGGGGAGAAGTCCAGGTCTGAGGCCCAAGCCCCTGCTCTCTGCTGGGTACTGACCTCTCTCACCCCCCAATTCCACTTTCCTTTATGCCTTTGAGCTTTTTGAGCAGCTCTCCCAAGTCAGGGAAAACTTACTTCAGTCTGACTCGGGTACCTCGGCCAAGCTCCCAGCATCCTTCTCTTCTGTTACCCTTTGCTTCTTTTTTTGGGGGGGGGGGTCAGGGAGCCCTAGATTGTTGGAGGGGGACGAAGATTGTTACTCACTGTCTCCCTCTGCACCAACCTTGAGATACCCCTCCACACTCTGTGGGTTCTTGAACTCAGGACTCTTACACAACCTTTGAGAGGCTTCAGCTGGATGGGGAGGAGACAGCATCCTGGGCAGGGAACCCCTTCCCCCTAACCTTCCATCTTCTTCCACAGCTTCTTGACCTAGTTTTTCTTGACCTGAGGACAGAAAGAGGGCACAGCCAGACAGTCAGATACCTGGTTCCTAGGAGAAAAAGCCAGGAGGAGGAGACAGGCTTGCCCTCTGTTACCAGCAGGGATGGTGTAATGGCATCTTTGTGCTCATTGCTTGCAACACACCTGTTCTTGTCTGAATCATCTGAGGTCAGCTGCTCCAGATGTATCAGAGTCAGACCTGTGTGTGTGTGTGTGTGTGTGTGTGTGTGTGTGTGTGTGTGTGTGTGTGTGTGTGTGTTGGGGGGGCAAGAGATTTTCTATGAGATGGGAAAAGAGAGTTTTTAGAGGAGAGGAAAGGGAGCTTGAGTGTTGAGGTTATGTGTGAAAAACTGGGCAAGCAGCATGGATATGGGCATCAACTGCCCAATTCTATTGCAACATTGTCAGCTTCTCCATCTGACCCTCCCTTGGCTATGAGCTCCTAAAGGGCATGGACCTCCTGAGTTGGAATTTATATTCCATTTTCCTGCAGTGGGAAATTTAATGCACTTTCATTTAATGCAATTTATTTGTTCACCTCAGGCACTAGCCTGGACTCTTGAGGGAATAGGAGTGAATAGAAACCATCCTGGTTCTTATTTGCATCGTGTTCACAGTGAGGCGGGCTTCCAGAGAGCTTGCTGAATGGCTGGCCATGTGCGAGGGGTACCCGGGAGGAGACTCGGGGACAGCTTGTGTGTGGGCAGAAGATCCAAAGACCAGGCCTTTGGGAAGAGAAACGAACTTCTTTTGAGGGAGGGAGGCAGAACTTTGCCTTTCACAGTGGGAAGTGGGGAAGGACCTTAGTCATTATAGGGTCTCCCTGTGACCCGTCTCTGCTTTATGTCAGCCTCTGGAAGCCAGAAATTGCAGCCGGGCAGCACTTTTCTGGAAGTGATCCAGAGTGATACTTTAAGGATGATTGGTCCCTGATAAGGCTCTTCTGGAGGGTCCAGGGCCTCCGGGCCTCACCCCTAACCCTATGTCCCCCAGCATGGTCTCACTGCATCCATTATGGTCCCTCTTTGCTGTCCTCACTATGTAGCTGTCTGCTTCCTGAGTCCCCAGTTTGATCAGCTACTCCTTCGGCCTTCCTCTGCTGGGGTAACCCTGCCTTCTGGCTTGGCCCTAGTTGTCGCCTTGCCCTGCAGATAATTTTGGGCCCCTGCTTGCTCTACAAACATCTCAGTACCCAAGGCCTTTTCCATCCTGTGGTGTCCCTTCTACCACCACGTTTTTGGGTTGCATGGTGGCTGAGGCCTGTAGTCTGCCCTGGCAGGGGGTCAGGAGGGGTGCGTGATTGGTGGGAGGTGTCTAGGCCTCTACCTCCTCGGTGTCCGGCCTCGTCTTTAGCATGTGTTCCTTGTAGATTTTGTCATAGAAGATCTTAGCTATTTTCCCTTCCCCTCTTCAGGACATGGTGAGTTTGAGGTTTCCCTGCACCAAGGCTCCCTGAACACTGCTTTATTCCCTGTGGTGGAAATGTGCCATGTTTTACTTCACCTCCTGTAGGTTGGAAGCACTGTCTAGTCCTTGCCTCCTCCTGGAGAGTTAGGGTCCAGTCTGGAGCGGGGAGGAATACAATACTCTGCTTGTGTATTGGGGGACACCATGGAAGAGGCTGGAGAGAAAAAAGGACTAGGGGAGACACAGGGAGAGGCATACTCTCAGGAGAGATGATGGGATGAGGTTTCTCATGAACTCAGGGACACTTCCCCAGGCAGGGTGCTGGAATTCCAGGTTCGGTGGAGAACGACACAGTGCTGGACGACTTCCTTGTCACTACTTCCTGTGGGCCAAGCGAGAGGTCTGGAAAGGCTCTAGGTGGGAGTTCATCCAGGGATTGAGGGTCACATTTGCATGCGTGGGTGGAGCCTGGAAAGCAAGGGCGGTGAGGGACAGAGAGAACAGGAAAACATATGTGGCTGGAGTTGATCGTTATCAAATTCTGACCAATTTCAGCCACTAGGGGGAGCTAACACTTCTCCACCACTCAGTAGTCAAGGACCTTTGTAGGGCCACCTTGAATCTTATACAGATGTATAAAAGGAGACTTCCCTTTTAGGATATATATATGTCTGCCTGCCTGCCTGCCTGCCTGCCTGCCTGTCTGTCTGTCTGTCTAACCTATCTATCTGTCTGTCTGACTGTCTATCTATCCATCTCTTATCTATCTATCTATCTATCTATCTTCTCTTGAGCTTCTCTCCTCTATTTTCTCTTGAGCTTCTCTCCTCTATCTATCTATCTATCTATCTATCTATCTATCTATCTATCTATCTATCTATCTATCTATCTATCTATCTATCTATCTATCTATCTCTAATCTATCTATCATCTATATCTATCTATCTATCTATCTATCTATCTATCTATCTATCTATCATCTATCTATCTATCATCTATATCTATCTATCTATCTATCTATCTATCTATCTATCTATCTATCTATCTATCTATCTATCTATCTATCTATCTATCTATCTTCTCTTGAGCTTCTCTCCTGGGAGTTCTGGTCCCCTACTATAAGGTACTTGGGCCTGCTTCTCCGTGGGAGGGCTGTAGCTTATCTGAACTCTGTCCTAGATTTTCTCAGCCAGTCTGTGGGTTCAGCATTAGTTTTCTTGGAAGTAGTGATTCCTGGGTGAGGGACAGGATACATTGCCAACCCAGAGGGGCTGTGTGTGGATTTCATTTGAACTGAAAGAGCCATCCCACTTCATCCCCTTCTTGTTTTGTTTTCTTGTGATGATGGGGAGTGAACCCAGGGCTTTGTATCTGCTAGACCAGTGCTCTATCCTATCACTGTGGTATAACTACAGAAGATCCTCATGGCTGATGCAATGAATAATAATTGCTCTGCTTTACGAAGCCCTTCCCCTGTGCCCTGGGTGGTGGGAGGCACATATCAGAGGTGATTGTGCTAATCCTCAGGGCAGCCAGTGAAGTAGGTGCTTTTGCTATCTGCACTCCGGCTGAGATGGAAAACATTTGGTTAAGAAACTCTCACGGCTTGATTTTAAATAGCAACTAGAGGTCTAAACAGGCAGTGTGGAGGCTGTACTTTGCCTGCAGATGTCTTTTTTTTTTTTTTTTTGACCTCCACGATGTGTAAACAAAGTAGCCATCCATGAAAAAGGAAAGATGTCACGTGTGAATTTTGATTGCTAGTTAGTGGGAGGTGAACCACAGCTGTCTCTTTAGAAGGGTGTCCTCTCAAGCGTCCCCCCACTTTACCCCCACATTCGTGTTTCCCCATTCCCTGCCTGAACTCTGCTGGTCAGTCCTGTCAACCCTGGCTGCACACCAGAATCCCCGAGGAGCTTAAAAGACATTCCCGATTTAATGGTCTGGGAGAGACTCGGGCATGGCTAGCTTTTCCAGCCCCACCCCTATGTCGAGATGACTCTAATTCACAGCTAGGGCTGAGAATCATGACTGTAAACCATTTTGCAATTTTTGGTCTAGACTGTAGACCTTGAGTCCTGGCTGCTTTACTTCAAGGCTCTGTCTCACTGGCCAGAGTGGTATGGTGTTTGTTTATCTCATGACCTTGTACACAGACGACTTAGAGACTCTGTCCTTCTGGGACCTTGAAGGTAGTTATAATGGCTGTGGGGAAAGATATTCAATACCTTGGCCTCCAGGCGTCTTTTAACAGCTTCCACCAGAGACTCAGCTGAAACAGTCTGTCCTGCTCTGAGACCTCTTCTCAGCTTTCCATCGCTATTGCTGTCTCCTTCACGTCCGGCCCCCAAGGATTCAGAGCCTGATTGCTCAGGGCATTTGTTTATGTGCTTGTCTTACCTCTGCCTGTGGCCAGGTCTCCCATTTCTTAAGTGGACCAGGATTAGCATTGCTCAATGTAGATAAAGTATCTACCTTCCTACAAGAGTGGCATTCATGCAACCTGTTTGCCCCTTGCTCTGAATGTCTTAATCAGTTCGTTTATCAACCTTTTACACACATCTGTGGGATTCATGTTTTTTCCTAATCTCTTTCCCCAGAGATCTGGCCATCCAGCTCAAGCCTTGGATTAGAAGCACAAGTTGGGAGGAGGTTGCTGCTGGTATTGGGGTCTCTTGAAGGGCCAACTCATGGCAAAGACTGAGGCCGCCCATGGGTGGGTACAGAAGAAGAAAGGCTTTCCTGACCTCCCTTCATACTCCCTCAGCCATTCCACTGCCTCCCACTATCTTGGTTGTCTGAGAGGTCTACACGTGGGGGGTGGAGCTGGAGAACACCACGGACACATGTTCCTGTGCCGTCTGCTGGTGGCAAGTGGTCGTGCGCACTCACCTGTGTAGACCACGGAGGGGGTGAGGCCACTGAAGATAAGGGGGTAGGAGGGATATTCAGAGGTGGTGCGTGTGCGTGGGCTGTGTCTATAGACACAAGAGGTGGCAATGCGCAGCCGAGGAGAGCAGTCGGGCAATGGACCTTTACTGTCTGGCCTCTCTTTTCTTTACACCCCATTTTCTTTTCCCTGAATGGTTATAAGGACTAGCAGGCCTGTTCCTTCACCCAGCAACACAAACAGTCCCAGGTTCCTGGAGAGGGAGGATCTGGGGCTTCAACTTACCCAGATAACCGAGTAGGGCTCACAGGGAGCTAGGATGCCTGTTGAGAGGTGCATGGGAGAGGAAGACAGTGCTGGGCGTTTCATCAGGAGGGAATGAAGTCGGGCCAAAGGAGGGGTTTCTGACTATGCTATTCTGAGGTAGGCCTTTCAAGGAAGCTGATTAGCATTTTTTTCTGGGTCCTAGGGACTTGCAGTATTTGGAATGGTGAGACAGGTGACTGTGTTTCCACAGCTCTGTTTTCATTTGTCACAGGACAAAGGCAGAGGCTTAGCTTTTATTTCTTATACTTTTTTTAAACCAGTAGTTTAAGATATTAACAACTTCAGATGCCATAAACATTTACTTCCCACCTCCCAGCTCTCCAGATGCAATCTGGGGTTCCCACTGAAGCCCTTCCATTCAGACACGGATAAGGGTACGTGGCCTTCGCATTGTACATGTCAGGCGGCCTGTCATACACAGTTCTGCCCCTGCTTTCTCTCTGTGCCTTGGAGATCTCCGTATACCAGTTTACAAGGCATTTTCTTGTTCTTGACGACGGCACCAGTGTTTCAGGTGAATGGACACACCTGCCTCTTAGTTAACCTGCGTGGTGGTTTTTTAAGAACCTATTTTGCATATGAGGAAACGTGTCTGATTCAAGTGACCTATCCAAATTGTCGCCGAGAACAGAATCTGAGCTTCTTGCTCCTCCAGCCCTGCCTAGTTCAGTGTTCTCCAGAGAATTCAAAGCCTTCTTCTGAGCAGGTGGTCTGAGACTAACTCCCAATTTCTACCTCGCACATCTTTGCTTCTATCTCTGGGTTCTGAGAGCATTCCATATTCTGCCCCTCTCCATCTCCCCCTCTGGCTCAGAAAGTACCAGTTTAATCTCTTTCCAGAGGAAATGGCAGGAAGCCTCCCCTTTACTAACCTGAGCCTTCTAATGCTTCAATGCTGTGCCTGCGGCTTGGAGGCTCAGCTGCTGCCCTGGCCAAGCACGGTGGGCAGTCTCCTTTTTTCCAACAGCAGGCATTGGCTGTCACTAGTCCTTCGATGCTGCACCCGTGATTGGGAGACCCCTTTCTTTTTTCTTTTTTTTTTGGGGGGGAGAACCCCTTTCTTAGGCTCTTATTTCAGCTTGGTGGCACACAGCTTAGCCGTGGGGGTTGGGGGAAGGAAGCAAGCTGGATGCAGGAATGGACGGAATGCTGGGGACTAGGCCTGAGGGAAGCTGAGGTGGCAGGTCAGGAGTCCATTTCTTGTGCCTGCTGCAGGGTGGGGCTTCTCTGAGCTGAGGGGGCCAGGGTTGCTGTCCTTGCTCGGGCACATGAGCACATGCAGCCCGACAGGGTTGGGGGGGAAGCCAAAGGCCTTTGTCTTCCCAGGACTGGACGAGGCACATTGGGTGAGTCCTGTGGATGTGCACCCTGCACAAATCCTGGGAACACCATTTGTCCTGCATTGTGTGGCCTTATAGGGTAGGGGAATGACATTAGCTCTTCTCCTTCCTATTCCTCAGTCCAGTCTCTGAAATCTGGGTGGAAGGGCCCATCCTCTGGGAGGGAGATCTCTGTGAGCTGACAGCCCTGCCTTGGACCTGTTGGACCAGTCCACTTACCTCCTGTTGTCCCTGTGGGGCCCAGTAGCAGTTGCAGCCCAGTAGTTTCCCTTGGAAGGCCTGGACTGAGAGTAGCCCCTCCCGAAGGGCCCCAGGGAACTAGATTCTAAGCCATCTGGGACACTTCTGCTCTGTTCTTCTCCCCTGGCCCTAAGATGAAGCTGTCAGCCACTGATGGTAAATGGAGGTCACCCCAGGGCGGGCTGCTGGCCAGCCAGCAGGGCCTTCAAAGATTCAACCATGGAGGCGATGGCACAGACAATAAGAAAAGATAAAGGTGTCTGAAGCTCAGATGGGGGTCCCAGAGAACAGAAGTATACTATCCAATCAGAGAGGGGAATGTCTCCTTGCCCCACCCTTGGCCTCCCTGGAGCAGCTCTCTACCTGGTGGCCTACTAGCTACTTTTCCTTCCACCTGTGAGGTTCCCTGTGGTGCAGTGGAGTTCTGTGGGCCAGGGCTGAAGGCTGAATTGGAATCCTCAGGTATTAATAGACTTTGGCTTTTCAAATCCGGCTTCACATATATTCCCAATCTCCACAAGGGGCGCCAGTGATCAAGAGGGCCAACTTAGTGCGCACGGGCAGAGGAGAGGCACAAAACCCTGGGTTGCAAGGAGGCTGGGGATGGAAGGAACTGGCAATGACAGACCCAGGAACTTAGTTTTGCTCCAAATGCTCTCTTTATTGCTCTAATCAATGACCACGAGCGAGTTATAAAAAGACACCAAATGTCTCTGTTTGCCGTGGAATAAATATTTAAAGTCAGCAATAAAAACACGTGGCTCCAAGATAACACATGTTGCCAAAGAGTCATGCACGCCCTGCTCATGGGCTCTCAACATGTACATGGACACAGGGAACACACACAGAGCAACACGCAGCAAGACTTTTGGGCTTTCCCGTAGTGACACAGAAAGATGTTTTACAGGTCTGGAGTTGAGTCCCCATCCTACTCTTGGAGGACCCCCCTCAGGGCCCGGCTCTTTGGGGTTCCCCACCTGCATCTGTCCTCTTCATCTCCAGTGCCTCACAGGCTGATCATTGCTTTCTGAGAGTATCAGACATTCAGAAGGCATCTAGAATAATGCCCACCCTTGCCCAAGAACCTTCTTCCTTAGCTGGGATCTCTCTGTTAACCATCACGTGCTCCACTGCCTGGTCTCTGGATCCTGTTCCTACCATCCACATCCTGGTGGCAAAATGCAGTCTGCCTTTTCAGAGGAGCTGGTGAGCCTAGAGGCAGGTACCTATGCCTTGGGGGCTGGGGGGCTGAGGGACTAGAGCTCAGTTCAGTGTTCCTATCCTGCCTGAGGGGACACAGTGTCTGGTACAGATAGCAGAGATGGATGGACAGACAGAGCACGTAGTGGCAGAACACTTGGGGTGTGGCATGGAAACATTTTGGACCAAGTAGCAGTGGAACCATGGTTAAAACTGAGGCCCCAGGTCTGTACGGTGTGGGTCAGGCCCAGGGGCCCCAGGCCTGGCCTGGTAATTCCTCCCCTGCCCTCCCCAACTCTGCAGTATGTACAGTAGAAGAGCTAGGCTGGGGGTAGGGACCAGGCCAGGACAACAGAGGGGGAGCAGACTGAAGAGAAGGAAGGGTGAGGGGAAGGGACAGGGAGCAGGCCCAGGGCCCAAGGCCAGATCTTGGGTTGTTGGGGGTGAAGGCCCAGACTCAGGCTGGGCAGTGCCCAGAGGAGCTCAGAGGAAGAGCGTGGTCACTCTGAGGACTGGTGGGACAGCTGCTTCTCATAGAGGCTCATGACGTGGTGCACGAACTGGTACTGTTCGCATGTCTGGATCATGCCACCCCTGGCCAGTAGAGATGCAGTGAGCTGCGGGAGGGGTCCTCAAACGCTAGGGGGCACCAGCTGTTCTGTAGCTCGGAGACAGCAACTCTTCCCAGCCATTGCCCTCTGTCCCTTCATTTCAGGGACGCACCCTTGTTCTCAGCCCCTGTCCTTTCCACCAGCTGCTTGTCTTCCGTCTTCCTCCGGAGAGCTGCCTGGATTCTGCTCTCTCCCATGTGTTTCTTTCTGCTCCCCATCTGCCTTACAGACTATGTCTGGTTTATCCACTGTCCCTCGATTCATGCACACATCACACTGCCACCCTCCCCCCTCCCCTGACCAGGGGCTGACCTGTCCTGACGGAGCTGGCATGTGGTCTTTAGGATGTCCACGATGCCCTCCCGTCGCAGCTGCTGGCAGCAGATGCTGGTGGCAATGAAGCAGCCAGTCCTCCCAATCCCTGCACTGAGGGCCGGTCGAGAGGATAGATGGGGTGAGGCGCACAGTAGCCCAGGGATGGGGGTGGCCCCACCCCAGCGGGTGGACAGGAAAACCCACCTGCAGTGAACGATGATTGGGGAACAGTGGGGTCCCTCTTGTTGGGCTGCCTCCTCCACCTCCCGTACCAGGTGCAGGAGTGGGGGTGCCCTGTCCGGGGTCTTCTGGTCAGGCCAGGATGTGAACCAGTAATGCTTCAAGCCTCGCTCTTCAGTCCCTCTCTGCCCAGGAGAGAGAGAGAGAGAGAAAGAAAGAGAGAGAGAGAGAGAGAGAGAGAGAGAGAGAGAGAGAGAGAGAGAGAGAGAGTCCTCCTACCCCCCCAGATACATGTGAATGTTCCTAGACCTAATTCATCCAAAGATGGAGATGGCAAGGGAGGAAAGGGAGGGGCGCAGAGTGTAGGGATTCTTAGTTCCCATCTACCATATTGCCTAATGGCACAAGACAGATCAGAGTTAGCTTGGTGTGCGTGCACGCATGCGTGCGTGAGAGTGAGTGAGAGAGAGACATTGGCCTCTGAACTCTAAAATCATCCAAGAAAGGCAAAGAGCCTTTTCTCCAATTCATTACTATCCGGAAATTCCTTATTCGGACAGATGTTCCAGGCACCCCTTAGTCACACAGCCCAGAGCACAGGCTCTGCCTGCCCATCCTGCTGTCCTCAGTATGTACTGCCAGTCTCCTATCTGCTCTACTGTCCCATTTTGGGATGACCCTACCCTATTCCTCCCCAACTATCAAAGACCCATAGCATCAAAATGGTCTCTCCCTAGCACAAATCTGGATACACTGCACTGTGTTTAAGACCTTTTGCTGGCTGGGCCTAATGGTGCAGGCCTGTAATCCTAGCTACCTGGAAGCCTGAAGCAGGAAGATCAAGGCCTGCATGATCTACAGAGTAGGTCCAGGTCAGTCTGGGAAACTTAGTGAGGCTGTCTCAAAACAAACAAAACAATAAAAAGGGCTGGGGATGTAGCTCAGTGAGAGAGTTCTGGCCTACTGTGAGAACCTGGGTTAAATCTCTAGTACTGGAAACCTAACCCTACACCAAACCAAGAAACCCTTCACTACGGACTGAAAGTGTGGTTTCCTGACCCACAACTTCATATGTTGAAAGCTCAATTCCACGGGGTGGGAATCTGAAGGTGCGGGCTGTGGGTCAGGAGTGCACACCTTCAAACGTGATCCATGCCCTTAGATTAGAGACCCTGGAGAGATTCCTCACTCCATCATCTTTTCTGCTGTGGGAGGACATGATATAGGAAGTGGGCACACACGTGTGCTTGCACACACAGCTGCTCCTTCTGCACACTAGGAAAGCCTAGTTTGCTGCTGCTCACCCCTTACCAATCCTCCAAGATCCCATACAGCCCTTCCGGTAAGCATTCCCAGAGCATTCCATATGGCAGGGTGCCCTTCTGTATCCTTGCCTGTCACTAGTTGGTATTTACCATCTTATGGGTGCTCCTTGAAGAAAGAGTCCAGAACACAGCTCTGTCCCCCATACCCAGGCCAGAACCACACCCACAGCAGGTGCTTGTGAACACCCTCAAACCCCAAGACACCCTCGCTCTTCCCTAGCTGCTCCCATAGCACTGAGATGAGCAGCCCCACACCCCAGCCTCTTTCTACTTGGAAGCTGGTTCCTCGTGTTCTTGGTTACATGGCTGTGACAGTGACCGCAGCACCTGCCCCTTACTTCCTGGCCTTCAGGGTTTCCAGTAAGTCTTGGTGTTAGATGCTCATATGGACACTGGCCTCTGGGGGCTCAGGCACCCTGGTATCTTGCCCAGTTCTGCATCTAGTAGGAAACAGGGCAGCTCAGAGGGACAAATGTTAGGCCCGGAGCTCCTCTCTGTGGCTGAACCCCGTGGCTGTCAGCATCAGTGACTTT